GTTTTCCAGTTGGTAATCTTAAGTCTTTCAAGATCTTGTTCCATGTATCTAAGTTTGGGTCTTCCCTTTGACCTTCTCCCTACTGGTGTTTGCCTTATTATATGTTTTGGTGTTTCAGTCTCCAAGATCTCCAAGACGTCCGATCTTTATGAATGTTATGACCTCGGGTTTATTGTGTGCTGTGTATAGTTCAAAGTTATATCTTCTGCACCATGTGTCATTTTTCTTCACTCCCTTAAATATGTGTCTAAGGATTTTTCGTTCAAACGTACCTAATTGGTTTTCATCGCTTTTCGACAGTGTCCATTTCTCTGATCCATATACAAGGACCGGTTTTATCATGGTCTTGTATATTTTGCATTTGGTTTTTCTTGTAATGTTGTTAGATCTTAGATAGGTATTTAATAAGTCTATTATATGTTTTATTAGTGATATGTATTCTTTTCTTAACTTCTTCACTGACATTGTTATCTGCGGTAACTAGTGAACCTAGATATGTAAAATTTTTCACGCTTTCGATGTTATATATGTTATTGTATTGTATTGTATATGTTATTTTTATTGTCAGATTCTGTAGGTTTCTTTGGCGTGTCGATTTACTGGCCTCTTTCTAACGCATTAAATGCGACTATCATCTCTCTTTTGCTTCTAGCTATAATATCAACATCATCTGCAAATGCCAATATTTGTACACTTTTTGTTATTCTTTTTACTCTGGTGTTGACTTTTGACTCTCTAATTATTTTCTCTAATGTGATGTTGAATGGAATACATGATAGGGCATCTCCCTGTCGTAGGCCCGTTCTCACAAGTATTGTATCTATTAGTGCGTTTTGAATTCGAATTTTGCTTTGCACTTTAAGTGTTTCTTTTACTATATCAATGAGTTGAGTTGGAATATTAAACTCTTTCAGTTCATGGATCAGGAATTCTCGATGGATGCTATCATAGGCACTCTCAAAATCAATGAAAAGATGATGTGTGTCTATATTAAATTCACTAGTCTTTTCCAAGATTTGCCTCAAGACGAAGATCTGATCTATTGTGGACTTCTGCCTGCGGAAACCACATTGATATCCCCAACTATTTGTTCCGCATATAGTCTCAATCGGTCATACACAATATTTGACAGTATTTTATATGCCACAGTTAGTAGCGTTATTGCCCGGTAGTTTTTACATTGAAGCTGATCTCCCTTTTTATGTAGTGGGATAATTACTCCGGTATTCCAGTCTTGTGGCAGTTGTTTATTATTCCATATAGTCACTATTAGTTCGTGTATCGCATTCAATAGAGAGTCTCCACATTCCTTTATTAATTCTGCGCTAATGTTGTCTAATCCAGGTGACTTGTTGTTTTTCAGTCCGGTAACTGCTTCTTGCATTTCAGCTACTGAAGGGGAGGTTGTTTCTCTGGTATCCGTTAAATCACGTATAATTCCATCATATTGTATATCTTCGTTTTTTTCAAACTTTACTCCAAAGAATTCTGTCCATCTTTGTAGTATTTCACTCTGTTGAGTTACTATATCTCCTTCTTTGTCTCTGCCCATCATTATTCTTGGTTTAAATTCTTTTCTACTTTTGTTAAGTTTTTGGTAGATTTTGGTTTCTGATGGTTAGATTAGTTCTTCCATTTATTGGAGTTCTTTTTCTATGTGTTTTCTTTACTTTCTGAGATGTATTTTCTTCTCTTCCCTCCTTAACATTCTATATTCCTCTTCTGCATTTCGTGTTCTATGTCGTTGTTGTAGACGTTGATATGCATTATTTTTCCAGTCTGTTATGTTACGACACTCTTGATCGAACCACTGTCCTTCAGTTGATTTGAGTTTTTTTTTGTAGACCCAGAGTCTCTTTGGCTGCGTCTTGTATGATGTTTTTACACGTTTCCTATTCTCTGTTTATATCCTCGTGCTTTTTTCTGTTTTCTAGCCTTCCTTTTATATATTCTTTGTATTTTGCGCCTCGTCAAAACCAATAAGGATATTTTGAAAGTAGACCTAGAATTTTATATTTTATATAGGTCTTATTATTGTAATCTGTTGGTAAGAGAGGTGCCGATATAGTCTTTTAAGATAATGTAACGGTACTTTAGAATTTTGTATCTTTATAGCTCTAATTCTTCATATACCTTTGAGCTTTTTTATTCCTTAAAAGAATTACTGAAACATACAGATTACTTTATGGCTGCTTTGTTATAAATTTGAGAACAACCGTCTTCGTCGTAATTTTTTTTTGGAACAAAGAACATTTAGGTTATTTTTTTATAGCGCTAGGAAGAGAGTAATTAAATTTTTAAAACCTCTTACAAATAGCTACCTTTATCCGACTTGTGACAGTTAGGTCTAGAAAGCGGCTACTTTACTTCAAACAGAACCTTTCCCTCAATATAGTACAGTTATTTTGTCTTTTTGCTCCCCTTATCTGTACTTTTGTAACTTTATTGTAAATTAGTTTAGTATTATTTTGTACTTGCTATTATATTATTACTTTTAAAGCCAATTATCTGGAGATAAGCCTAAAACATTAAGTAGAGATATTTATATGATCTGCTATTTTGAAATATTTTAAAAACATCAAGTTCTCATTAATGTTATATTTTATTTATATGTATGTACATGTGTCTATGTGAATCATATTGAAAGATTTCGCATTTTTTTTACAAGTTACCTTAGATTTATTTGTATTTCTTGTTCTTGGAATTCACCCGTCTGGTGATTCAGTTATTAAATATATTTTGTTTTATTTACCTACTGAATTTTATTTATCTATTCTTAATAAGTTTCCTGATAATAAAGTATCTCTGAATATTTGCTAATAAAAATATTTTTTTCCCCTTGGCTTGGACAATTGTCATTCAGCCAGTCTCCATCAACATAAGTTTTGGTAAAGAATTTAAATATGTCAATTAGTGAAACATGATTAATATAATAATAATAACAGCTAAGCTAATGTACATACTATGTTAATAAATACTATATCATACCTTTATTATAATTTAGTTATTGAGAGACGCCATCAGAAAGTCATAGTGTATACATCTTACAAATAAAAAAAAATAAAAATAAAAATTTTTTTTTTCACTACTTTACCCGATTCAACATCTCGGAGGTTTAGATCCTCTTGTATTGTTTTAGTATATTTTTATTTATTTATTTTTTTTTCTTATTTTGTTCTTTTTTTATGTATTTTTATAATCATCTTTTTTTTTTTTTTTTAATTTATATATTTTTTTTCTTTTTAAATCTATTTTTTTAAGTATTTTTTTTATATTCTTTTTATTTTATTTTTTTTGAACTTTTTTTTTAATAATTTTTTTTTAATTATTTTTTTCATGAATTTTTTCTAAACATAGGTTACAAATCTTACTAATTACAGGCATACTTTACTATCAGACAAAAAGGTTATCAAGCAGTTATACATTTTCTTCTCATTGAGAGATAGTAGAAAGAGAATATTAACAGGAAGAGGGATGTTCTTGTCTATCATTCTTTTAATTAGGTTGTTGGTGGGTTGTTTATACTTTTAACATTCAAAAAATATGTGGTTTAAGTCACTTTTAATCTGACATTCTTGACAAATATCCGAATCTAATATATTTATTTTAAATAAATGTACAGGATATCATGCATGGCCAAATCTAAGTCTACTGATGGTAGTTATGTATTTGCGAGGGAGGACGAAATTCTTATACCAAGGTTGTTTTGGAATAATTGGTTGTATCAAACTGTATTGTGTTGTTGAAATACTACAGTACTTTTCCCAGTGTTCTCTCCAGTTGTTCATTTGTTTAGTTCTTGAACAAGCAAAAGCATCTATAATGCAAGGTTGATAGTTGGTAAGTGTTCCATAAAAGATGGAATTTTTTGCTAACTGGTCCACGTGTTCATTATATGTAAGTCCTGAATGTGCTTTGATCCACATCAATTGTATTTTTTAGGGTGTATTTATTAATTTCAAATAAGCAATTTTTAATTAAAAAAATGTATGGATTAGAAGTACTACAGGGTAGTTGCGGTTTTTGAATAGCTGTAAGTACAGATAATGAATCAGATAAAATTACTGCTGAACTATACGATGCCAATTTAAAATACTTTAAAGCCTCATATATGGCCACAGCCTCAGCACTAAAAATAGAGAAATTTGTGGGCAGCTTAAACATTTTTCATATAAATTTATCTGGAATATAAAATATTTAACTATCACGATATCTTCGACCAGGAGAAAAATCAGGCTGTATATAATATGTTTGTAGGTAAGTAGGTCGACGAATTCCACCAAACATATTTATTATTTGTTTATGTAATGTGTTGACCACATTTATTTATAATTAACTGTTAATATCTTTTCTTTTATTTGGTTTCAAAACCTAATTATCCTTCCTTATTTCCTTTCGTCTCTAAGGTTTCTTTAATTTTCTGCTTGTATCCCCAAAAAGTTAGGTTTGATAATTTTACCTATCTCTCTTATCATCTATTTCTCTATCTTTTCTAATCTTATCCATCTTATTTCTATCTTTTCTAATCTTAATTTTATCTTGTCTTATCTTGATTATTTCTTCTGTTGGTCCATTCCCGGTTCCAAAAGCTAGTTTGTTTCGAATCCACGATTCGCTCTTCACCAACTATCTAGCTGCTGTTCGCAGTGTCTCCACTTGTGACCTTTCTAGCACCATTCAAAAAAGATTTTAGAGGTTAAAATGTATTCTTAGTACAGTGGATGCATTATTCTAACGTTCAGATCCTCCTCTAGGTACATTTTGATGACTGTTTTTCGTTATAGTGAGAAAGCACCACAGGAAACAGTTAAATGTGATGTCTTAAGCTGTTTAATATGCTTTTATCAGTTTTACTTGGTCTTGTTTTCTCTTCCACCTGACTCAAGGGACACTTTTTTTAATTTTGCTCAAATTGGTTGTTTCCCCCTATTCTGATATTCCATAAGTATTGAGAAATATAGCTCATATAGCTTTCATACTATTAACTAATAAAAAGCTCTCAAAGCAAAACTGTTTTTATTTTATGTGAGTATAACTCTAATTTGGATATATTTAAATAATGTCAGCACTCTCTTAACGTCATTATAACGCAGTTAAACTTTTCTTTTTTCCTTTAAGATACATCTGAATTTCTTCCAGCGTTTTATCCTTAGTTTCAGGGACCATATACAACGACAACACGGTTGAGATCAAAGTGCAAATAGTAAATAGTAAAAATGGAGCATAAGTACCAACATTTGAATTTAAAAGGTTAAATAATGCGTTAGAGGAAAACGTTCCAAACGCCATAATAAGCATCGAAACAGACATTGCTTTGGACTTAATACTGGCTGAAAATAGTTCTCCTAACATCATACTGGACATCACCGTGACGCCGAAAGAAGATACCACTTGGTAGCTGACTACTGCAGTGATAGGTAACCAGCTTAATGAAGATGTATCAATTTCTACCATATTTTCGTCAACATAGAAATATACAGCCATTACAGCAAGTACAATCGTACAAAGAGCCGATGACCAGGTGTACAAAGGTTTCCTGCCAAACCTTTTAACTATAAATAAGACAACGGTTATATGAAGTACAATAGAGAGAACATTGTATATAATAGAAGCCACTTCGGGGCTAACATCACCACCAGCTTTTTTAAAGATCAATTGAGTATACTGTACGAACACTATATTCCCACTAAACATCTGCGATATTCTTAAAAAAAATCCAGCTAAGAGAGCTTTTCTGTTGCTGTCTATACAAAACAGATCTTTCCAGGTGCCCTGCTCGGACATTTGACGCTCCACGTCACTTTTTAGTTTTTTTAATTCAGCTTCAACGTTGCTTTTTCTAGTCAAGAACCTTAAAGATTTCTTTGCAGCTTCGTCTTGGTGCTTAATTAAATAATAGTATGGTGTGTCCGGCATCAATGCAAACAAAGCCACAAATATTATTGGTACAGGTAAGAAGACGAAGGATGTTGTAAATACATCGGTGTAGCTACCTACTATGTTAACAGCAAACTGTCCAACGTTAAGTCCAAACGTGATAGCCGTACCTAGAGCCCCTCTAATTTTAGGCGATGCTACTTCTCCAATATACATTGGCATCGCGGTCCATAAAAAACTGTTTGCCAGCCCAACAAACATCCTTGACACATAAAATACATAAATACTCTTAGCAAACGCAGCGATGGTAAGCGCGATGATGTGTGGGATGCTCAACAAAAGTAGAGTCTTTTTCCTGCCGATGATGTCAGGGATCTTACTAAAAATCATGCATGTCAAGATTACTGTTAAAGGTTGGACTATCGTTAAGTTAGAAGCTTCTTGTTCGGAGATATCGTAGTTTACTTTGTCTTCTACTAGTTTGACTATAAACGGAGATGTCCATGCAAAGCAAACTCCTTGGGTGAATGCTCCTAACGATGCTAAAAAATAATTTTTATTTTAATATTTAAATAAAATAAAAGCATTATTTAAAAAATCATACAGCAATAATGTAAAACAAATACTTTTCTTTTAACACAGCTGCCATTAAATAAAAGAATGCTGCTTTGTGAAATTCAGAAATCGAAATAAAATTACACAAAACAAAGGATTTTTAAATACAATTCAAACAAGCGTTAGTAGATTCTAAGATAGAGCTTTTTAAAAATAGCCAGTTGTAGAAGAGTACATGTTTCACAATACACCAACTACAGGGCCATATACGTACTTACCAATACCATGAAAATAAGAGAGAGAATCAGAAATGGACGGATAGACAGATGAAGACACCGAAATATTCGAAAATCATTTTCGATTTTAGTAAAGCGGATCAACAGATGTACTTTTTACTATAAGGTAGTTGATGAAAAATAGAGACATAAATAACAGTAGAGGAACAAAGTAAATATGACTACTAGCTTAGGTGAATCAGTGGGAGACTTACAGAAGAGTGCATTTTGAAGTTAGTCTTAAGACCTAGGTTCTTCTGCTTCTTCTTTATTCTATTCATTGGCTTGCATACTCGTACATCTGATAGCGCATTTGGTAGTTTGCAGCTCGTCTTGCTCTAAGCAATGCTGCAACACTAAAAAACTTATTTGCTTTTTTTATTTTGTAAAGAGCTTTGTTTTTACAGACTTTAACTAAAAAATTACTTTTTTATAAGGATGCTTAGGATTTGAAATATTTTTAATATTTAAATATTAATAGCTTAATATTCTCTGCACAAACTAGTTCGGTGGCATGGCCGCCATGGTATCCTCATGACAACGGTCCAATTCTTGAATCCCCAATGCATAAGTTCTTTTTTGTATGTTATCTGTCAACGTCAAATCTTCTTTTTCGTCTCTCAACTCATATGTCAATTTTTCTTTTCTGTCTGCCAAGTCTTCTTCTTCTATTTCACGCAATAAGTGGCAAACGCCTGTTCGAAGGGTGACATAGAAGACTTTATTAGAAAGGAGATAAATAATGGGTTTGAATTTCATATACGGAGTGTGTATTGCAGCATGCCAAAAAGACCGTGATGACGTAATTGCTAAATGCCTTAACGTACAGAATTGTCCGGCATGTCACATGATGGGTTTAATGAAAACAAAGCAACTACTTGGAAAAAATTTAAGATGAGGACTGTTCTTCTTTTTCTTTCACACAGCAACACCTAAACGGTGTATCACAGGAAGACGTATGATAGCTCGTTCTAAAGAGGACAAAGTGTGCAATACAATAATTTATCAAAACAAAGATGGCGACCACTATTTTTCTTCTTTCACGCGAAAAATGTCAAACTGCTCATCGTAGAGTGACTTACTATCATGTCTTGGAAGAGGAGGAGGACTAGGCCCAACGTCCACTGTACAACACAAGCCTCCCTTTTCCGTAGCTAATGTCATCTGTCAATTATTCTTTTATTAGGTCTGTTAATCCCTCTTCTTTTCGGTGTTGTCAATTCTTCTTTGTATCAGCAACTGTCAGCTATCGTTTTAATAGTCATTTTAATTGTCAAATCTTCTTGTTTTCATTAGGCCATCTGTCAAGTCTTCTTCTTTTTCTATTAATTCTCCTTCTTATCAGCAACTGTTATCTGACATTTTAGTTAAAAAATAATCCTCTTTGCATCGATTGTCAATTCTTCTTCTTATCAGCATTTATTAGCTGTCATTTCAACTGTCAATTTTTCTTTTTGCATCGAGTTGTCTGTAAAGTTTTCGAACTAATAAACGAGATAGACCCCTATGGATAAAATAATCATAGATGTACAAGATGTTGAAGAAGAAGGCCTTACAACATATGAAACATCAAATGAAATGGCATTAGGCATATGATTTTTTTTTTCCAATTCCTCGCTTTCCTTCTATTTTGCCTTTTATTATCAACTGAGGGATGTAGTATTTCTCGTTGAGCAACAAATGCCCTAAATAACTGGTTTTTCTTCTTTTGACTGTTCTCAATAGTTCTTTTTCTAGCTTGAGTCTAGCTAGTACTTCTTCATTTGTTTTTCGTGCTGTCCAAGGAATTTTTAAAATTCTACGGTACACCCACATTTCAAATGCCTCGATTCTATTCAGGCTCTTTATTTTTAAAGTCCACGTTTCGACTCCGTAGAGAAGAACAGACCAGATAAAACATTTTACAAGTTTTAATCTCAATTTAATATTTATATGTGTATCGCAGAATAGAACGCGCATCTTAAAGAAACTATCCCTAGCTTGAGCAATTCTCGCTTTAATTTCTTGTTCTGGGTCCAGCTTGCAATTAATCCAACAGCCAAGGTATTTGTATTGGTTTACCTGTTCTAAAATATTCCCATTTATTTTTATAGGTAAGGGGATATTCTGTTTTCTTTGGATCACCATTACTTTTTTTTTTTCGTTGATCTTCATTCCAAACTCTCGACAATCATCCTTAAGGTGGTCTATAACCCCCTGTAAGTTTGTGTCTGTATCAGCCAGTAGGACAGTGTCATCTGCATATCTTATGCTAGATATTGGTTTTCCATTAATTTTTATTCCTGTGGAAAGGTTTTCCAAGGCTTGCTTGAATAGTAGTTCCGAGTAAAGATTAAACAGCATAGGGGATAGTATGCATCCTTGCCTTACTCCTTTATTTATACTAATATTTCTAGATGTATGATCGTCGATCCTAATCTTGGCACTCTGCCTCCAATATAAGTTCTTAATTAATCGGAGATCTTTACTATCCAAGTTGATGCTCTGCAAGGAATTTAACATTTTATTATGGTTTACGCGATCAAATGCCTTTTCAAAGTCTACAAAACATAGAAATACATCCTTTTTCTGGTCGTAACACTTCTGAAGCAGTACTTGTAGTAAAAACAAGGCCTCTCTGGTCCCCATTCCGGCTCTGAATCCAAATTGATCGTATCCAACTTCTTTTTCACACCTTTTGTATACCCTATTGTGAAGTATTTTTAATAGAAATTTAAGCACTTGGCTCATAAGACTTATTAATCTAAAATCTGCGCATCGCCTGGAGTTAGCTTGTTTTGGAATGGGAATAAAAATAGATTCTTACCATTCCTCTGGTATTTCCCCAGTATCGTAGATTGTATTAAACAAAGTTACTAACAAATCAATGTTATTACTTTCGATCAATTTAAGTATTTCAGGATAAACTTCATCAGGTCCAGTGCTTTTGTTGGTCTTTAATTGTTTAATGGCATATTCCAGTTCGACTTTTAGAATTGGTGGGCTTTCAGTAACATTATTTATTGTAATGTCTATTCCTGCATCTCGAAACAGCTGTTGTATAAATTTTTCCCATTCTTCTATTTTATCTTTGGTGTTATGAGTTAACTCTCCGTTGTTATTTACCAGTGGGCAATGTTGTTTTTTGTGGATGAATGAAAATTCTTTCACCTTCTTGTACATATTAAAGTAATCATGTCGATGTTCTAATTCTTTTATTTCTTTACATTTTTCTTCGAGCCATTTCTCTTTTGATTCTTTTATTTTCCTTCGTATTTCTGTATTATAATCGTTTGTAATCGATTGTGTTCTTATTTTTGTATTTCCTCCTTTCGTCTATCATCTTTAGAATAGCTGGTGTCATCCAGTCTTTTTTTGCCATTTTTATTTCTTTACATTTTTCTTCGAGCCATTTCTCTTTTGATTCTTTTATTTTCCTTCGTATTTCTGTATTTAATCGTTTGTAATCGATTGTGTTCTTATTTTTGTATTTCCTCCTTTCGTCTATCATCTTTAGAATAGCTGGTGTCATCCAGTCTTGTTTTGCCATTAATCGTGTATTTTAACGAACATTGACATATCAAAAAAGATTTTGGAAAGTAATAGTTTTAAGTAAGTTAAACAATAAAAGGCTTGCGACAGGGATGCGGTATCTCACCAACCTTATTCAAGATATATGTTGCAGCAGCATTGGAAAGATGGAAAAGAAAGGTGCATAGGATGGGTACAGAACTTAGCAATGAATGTTTATATACACTCCAGTTTGCTGATGACCAGGTAGTACTAGCGACCGACAGGGAAGACATGCAGTACATGCTTAGAAAACTGATAGAAGAATATAACGACTGGGGAATGAATGTCAATACAACAAAAACCAAATATCTTTGTATTGGAAACGAGTCAGATAATATAGAGCTCGAAAACGGACAACATATTTTAGTAGTCATAGCTCTTCTGCTGTCAGAGCTATGACTACTTGGGTGTTGCCTTTGACAATACAGGAACTGATACACGGGAAATAGAAAAACGAATCACTCAAGCAAAGAAAGTCTTAGGATGTCTCAATGGTATACTGTGGAGTAAAGAGATAACGAAAGGAAGAAAAAATATTATAACCATGATTAAAACTACTCTTCTTTATGGCGCTGAAACATGGAGAATTAGTGAAAAGAACAAAAAGCGAATAGAAGCAGTAGAGATGGATGCAATGAAAAGATCTTTAGGTATTTCCAGACGAGACCTAATCAGAAATGATATAATAAAACAACGTATGAAAATAGAAGGAAATATAACTCAAGATATAGAGAAGATATAGAGAGAAACAATTAAGGTGGTATGGGCATGTTCAACGGATGCCAGCAACAAGACTCCCAAAAAAGTAGTAGAATGGCAACCGATAGGTCGACGGAAAAGAGGAAGACCCAGATTAGAATGGCAACACGGCGTAAACAAGTCCATGAACGAAAGAAATTTAACAACAAACGACTGCGAAGATAGGAAGAGATGGTGTTTAGGTATCGGACAACGTCGAAAGACGTTCTAAACCGATTTATATATATATTTATATATATATATATTATATATATATATATATATATATATTTATATATGTATATATAGTTTTAAGTACCGATGATCGGTACTACGGATTAATAGGGAACAAATGAAATAGTATTATGACTACAAAACATGAATAGCAATCAAATTAGAAAACATGGAACACAGGCGATTAAATCATAAAAAAATATTTTAACAAAATATATCTGAAAATAATTTAAAAATGTGACTTACCTATCAAAATAGCCAACACCTGAGGCCAGATCTTTTCATCGTTAGGATTATTTCCATCAGCTGCATCTGATTTCTGCATCGCTCCCACGACAGCTTTCGTCATAGTGCTTCTTCGTATTTTTAAGTTGCCATCTTCTAATTATCTGTCGCGCCATAACTTTCTGTGTTATTTTATACCTAGAACTTAAATAAATGTTGATAGTAGATCAACAAGCTATTGTATGTTAAGCTTTGTATAAACTATTTGGTTTTATAATCTTTGTTGATCTCTAAAAATATAAAACTATAAAATTCCTTTCAGACCAACTACCTTATATAATGTGTTTTTTTATTTTTGTTATTCGTATATAAGTTATATAAAAATTATGCTAGTAAAAGTTAGTAGAATTCATCACTCAAAACTTCATCAAGATAAAAAATAATATTTACATACTAATAAATGTAATCAATATCCATAAATTAATTATTAAATAAATAACCAACCAATTTTAAAATCTACCTTAGTAATTATGAGCAAATCAATGAATTTATGATAGCTTTGTCTTATTAAATTTATTTTAAGTAAAATTGTATTTTCGGGAAAGATCATTGTACAAGATCTCACTGCAGGATCAATAGGTTCATAACCTAGTTAACCCATTAATGTCCAGCGCCTAAAGAGAAACTAAAAATACCTAAATTATTTAGCAGTTGCTTTTAATTATGATCATAATTATATTAAAAAATATTTTGTACATCTTTTAAATTTGATTTTTAAAAACCAAGTAGTGTACCCAAGCAGGTACACTGGGACAATGAGTATAAAATATATAAATATAAAATTCACAAGGAAAAAAAAAATTCCTGTAACTGGCTGTATACCACGTATCACAAAAAAGAGGTTAGTATTCGTAAATGGGTATATTCATTTAAAAAACCCTTAAAAGGGCTACGTCAATAAAACAAACGTTTTCGGACCACACAGTCCATCATCAGGTTTTAAAATTGAAAAAATGCTAGGTCACAATGCCTGAGCCACCAAAATACTAGGTAAAAACCCTTTAAATTACATTTAGTTACAAAAGATTATACATGGTGTTGTAAAATAACTGTGATGTTCAGTATTAAATTAAATTTGGCTAGAGGTAACACATGGCTAAAGCGAGTTCCAGAGCCGTGAGAGAACCTCTACACGCGGATAACAGCTGGGAACTGATTGAAAAGATACTTATGAACGATGTCGAAAACAAAATGTCAATGTAACAAAAAACTATATTAGTTGTACATAACTATTATTATAACCATTTGAGATCTCCGGGCTTCTTCAGTAAGTTCTTTTTTGGAAGTTTGTTAAGTGTCAGCTTCTTCTTTGATGATTTTATTCGTTTGGACAATGGACAATCTGTTTCATCCGGGTCATCTCTATTATCAAAATCATCGTAGTTAGGATCATACATTGTTCTATAGTCATCCTCATCTTCGGACTCGTCAATAATAACTTCAAGTTATCCAGAAATATCGTTAGGAATTTGGGTTGTTATCAAATAGTAGTATGAATTATTACCAGATCTATTTTAGCACTATTGGTAATCTCACCACTTTTAACTGCATTGAACGTCAGTGTAAGAGATGTCTCAAGAGTTTACCTATGTAAAACACCTCCACAATTTGCTGGTATAGTCAGTGCAGCCAAAAAAACTGGAGAGACTTATGTTGTGAAGGAATTACGCTTCACTGATTTCTATAATTTTAAGAAATTAGCTGGAGAATTTAATTTTTCTCTTAACACAGAGAAGGACAAAGTAGAGTGGTTAAAAATAAATGTGCTAATAATGGAAAAAAGCCAACCAAATACAATATTTTACAAATCATCATGGAAACAGAAAGAATGTTTTAAAATACAGATAAAGACAGTTACTATCCGAGAAAGAAATAGAATCAGTACTTCAATATTAGATCCAATGTACGAAACCCTACCTGGAATTTCGATTGAAAAAAAAAAAGATTTAATGTGGTTGCTTAATCATATACCTAAGGCCTATGCATACTTCTATGAATCATTGGTAAACAATCATAAGCAGAATAATTTTGTTTCTGATCTACAAGAAGAAGAAGAGTAAGTTTTGTTCAATCCAATATAAATATTCTTTGATACGTTATGTGTTTTTGTCGATCATTTACAAATTATTATAATTTTTGTTCTTCTTTCAAGTGCCCTGTCCTTTGCGAACATTGGCTATTAGCATGGCAATTTTGATCTTGTTTGCGGCGCTTCTGAATAGTTCGACCGATGTGAGCCCGAACCACTTCCGCAGATTTTGAAGCCACGAGTGTCTTCTCCTGCCTGGCCCTCGCTTACTGTCTATTTTCTCCTGGACAATCAATTGCAGTAGACGGTACTTATCGTGTCTCAATATGTGGCCTAGATATTCAAGCTTTCTTTGTTTTATTGTGCTCACGATTTCTTTCTCCTTCCTGATTCTTTTTTTGTTCAATTTCTTATAATTACTAAACAATTTTATACTGTAGAGCAGGGGTGCTCAAACTTGAACTGCTGGCCATCTACCTCAATATTTTTAGACTACTTACGATCGACTCTGAGGGACTGCAAGTGTGTGTGATGCAGGGTTGTCGTACATACACGATACACCCTACCTACCTAGGTAGGGCGTACCGTAGCATATATAGATATTAGCTTTCTGCACAATATAGGTACATTATTTTTGTCAAGGTTTTAGTTAGGTTCTTCTCTACAATATCAATGAAAAAACTCATAGTTATTCAAAATTGCGAGTTTATTTGTTGTTACAAAACAAAAGAGTTACATATGGTGTTAAACTTAACTAAGGAGTGGCTTTGGATGTTGAAGCGTGGGAGTGCATGTCCTCAGCATACTTTTCATAAAATGGTACGTAACCACTGAGTGTTAATCGCAAGCATGATGTCATATGATCGTCAGTTAGTCGATTGCGATATTGTGACTTAATTATCTTCATTTCAGAAAATGCAGACTCGCACAAGTAAGTTGACCCAAAAAATGCCGTCAGTTGAAGGGCGATTTGCCTTACATTCGGATATTTATCTTCAGATATAAAACGCCAGAAATTTGTATCAGATACTGTAGCTTTGAGATGTATATCTGATATAATCTGCACCAACTCATTTTCAACAGAACATGAGTTCATATTAAACTGACTTGCTATTTCAGTAGCTAATTCCCCAATGTTTTTACATGAAAAAGGATAACATAAATGATACTATATTTTCCAATTTACTGCAATCATAAAAACGCATTTCGAATTGTCCCAAAATATTTAATAATTCAGCCTCATACGTATCATAATTCAAGTGAGGAATCCTTGCTTTCAAAGACGGAAAATGTTACAGATCCTTTCTTTTCAGTTGATCTATCATAAGTTGAAATTTAATTTTGAATGCGTTTACTGCGCTACTCATCTCAATAATAGTTTTTCCTTTACCTTGAAGCTCCAAGTTAACGGTGTTTAGGGTGCATTGTGATGCCCGTCAAAATTGCCAAATCATTTAGCCATTTTTCGTTTTTCAAAATCTGAGTGTCATCACCTCTTTCGTCTAGAAAAACTGTTATTTCGGGCAATAAATCTTGAAACCTTTCTAGGAATTTTCCGCGACTCAATGCCCATAATTTCCTCCGTGTTTTAAAACTTTTGAACACAAAACTTGTTGATGTATAATGCAATGGAATGAAAAAAATGAAGGGAATTCTTCATTAGCTCGACACAATGCCACAAAACCGTTTTTGTTTCCAGTCATTGCTGGTGCTCCATCGGTTGTAATGCACATTAATTTATATATTGGTAGCTCGTAGTTTTTTACAAAATTTAAGAAAACATCATATATATCTTCGCCACGGGTCTTCCCCTTCAGAGGAATGATTGTCAAAAATTCTTCCTTAGCCAACATGTCATTCAATACCATCCGAATAAAATACACAGCTGGGCAGTGTCTCTCATATCGATGGATTCGTCGAACTGTAAAGAAAAGTATGTACATTCCATGATATCGTGTTTTAGTTTATCTGCGATGTCTTGACCCATGACTTCAATACGCCTTGTGACAGTCGGACGAGATAACTGAAGTTCTCTAATAGCAGACATGATTTCTGTTTTATTTTTAAAATCTCCAAATAAAGTCTCACCCGCTTCAACAAATGCTTCCTTCACCACCGATCCATCTTCAAATGGTTTCTTGTGTTTCGCCAAAATATGAGATATTTTAAATGACGCGATCGTAGCAGCTTTTGATTGTTTGGCTGGTCTTGTGAACATGGATTGTTCTTTTTTCAAACAATATATCAAATCACTTACTTTTCGTTTTCTTAATTCACTCTGTGGCGGAAAATCCTTTTCATAGTTTTTATGAACCGTTTTATGATGCCTCTCTAAGTTACCACGCTTAGGTATTGCAACTGACGCACGACAAATAACACAAATGCCCTTATCCTTCACCATAGAAAAGAAAAATTCTTCCTCCCAATCCTTATTAAATACGTTTTAGATTTCTTCACTGCACTCATTTTCCACTATTTAATAATAAACTTTGTATCGACGTAGGATCGCTATCAAGTTACAATTCAGAATAACTCCAATTCCTGCAGGCGCAACATTTATATCGGCGTGAACGAAAGTCTCGAATGTTTCCGTCAAACGCGCCGCCCGAAACTAGACTGTACTGTCTCTCGTCTAGAAACAACACGGCTTTTCTTTGAAAAGTGCCGCGCGTTCCTTTGATAAAGCCACCTTTTGCCGCAAGCAGTGTTATTTTATTACGTAATACATTTTTATAGTTGATAGAATATCATCCCAAATTTGATTAATACTTATAATAAATATTGAATTAATAAAATAATTAGTTTATATATGTAAATATAAAATATGCTGTGTGGACAGTATTTTGTTGTCCCTACTTCTTTGAATTGCAATGATGCTTAGTCAAGCATTCTATGTATTTGTATAGTGAAGTATTATTAAAAACGTTTAACTCTGCTGACAGTAGTTTAGTTACCTACCTACAAAAAGCACTCGCGATCGACCAGTCGATCGCGATCGACCGATTGAGCACCCCTGCTGTAGAGCAATAATTTTCTAATGTTAAACTGTTGTATGTTCCATCTAAGAATTTTATTTA